CATATTCACATTGAATGTAAGGTGTGATGCACTCATTTGAGGGATGTTTGAGATGATAAATCAACAGCTCAAGACATTGAAACTTACAGTGACTCCACGACATACTAAATCAGACCTGGCATGCACACTTGTGAGTATTTCAGGCAGGGCTTATAAACCCATTTACCTACAGGGTAGGGCAGATAAGACAAATATCTTAAGCAGCCACACATGAGACAATAGGAAATAGTGGGGTGGGGGGAACACCCCTAAACTTCTTCTTTTTTGTTATTTTTTCTTTTTTTGCAGTTTTTGTCTGGGGCTGGGTTTGAACCCACCACCTCCAGTATATGGGGCTGGCACCCTACTCCTTGAGCCACAAGCACCACCCCTCCCTAAACATCTTAAAAGTGTGATGTTAAAACCAAACAAAACACCAAAGAGCAAACAAACACACACAAAAACCCTGTTCTGGGCTAGTTCTTGCTCTTTGACTCTACTGTCATCCATTGCCAAATTTATAATGAGCATAATAAACTCTTGGTGAAGTTGATTTATGACTCTAGCAAAATAGATTCGAAAGTTATTAGGGGCCTGGTGGTGCCTGTGGCTCAAAAGGGTAGGGCGCTGATATCTCATATGCCGGAGGTGGCAGGTTCAAACCCAGCCCTGGCCAAAAACGGCAAAAAAAAAAAAAGAGTCATTAGGGCCAGGCGTGGTGGCTCATGCCTGTAACCCTAGCACTTTGGGAGGCTGAGGCTGTTTGATTGCCTGAGCCAGAGTGAAACTTCATCTCTAAAAATAGCCGGGCATTGTGGCGGGTGCCTATAGTCCCAGCTTCTTGGGAAGCTGAGGCAGGAGGATCACTTAAGCTCAAGAGTTTGAGGTTGCTGTGGGCTATGACACCACAGCCCTCTACTGAGAGCTACAAGGTGAGACTTTGTCTCAAAAAGTACCAAAACCCCAAAAAATCAGTTGTAAGCCTCAGAGATGGAAATGGTCAGACAATTAAAGATCATCCTAATACAGGTTCATGTTATTAAAAATGTAGGGCAGTGCCTATGGCTCAAAGAAGTAGGGCATTGGCCCCATAGATGGGCGGTGAGGGGTTCAAGCCCCAGCCAAAAACTGAAAAAAAAAAGAAAATGTAGTGCATCTCTGGCTTTAAAAATGACTTCTGTGGGAAGCTGGGATTAAGAACTAAGTTTTTTGTTTGTTTGTTTTGTTTTGTTTTACCATAAAAGTCCTAATTTCATTAGGTGTGGGAAATTTTGTGGCCAGTCCTGTTTTTTGCTTTGTGAAGTGAACTTTGTCCCAGTGTACTTGTTCTTTTATTTTAAAAAGGTTACTTCCTACTTGAACTTGATTCTCCTCTTCTAGTGGAAAAGTTCTGTCATGTCTGGGAAATCTTAAAGAATTTTGTTGTAAAACCAGAGAGTAATTTTTAATAATCATTTATTCTTTATAATTTGGCTTTCTTTTCTTTTGCCTAATTTTTTCCAAGTTTTTAAAAATGTTTTCTTATATCTTTTAAAATAGTGTTGTCTTTGTAGTTCCTCTACTTGATAATTGCCAAGTAAACATAATTTTGACATTGGCCTACAACATTCACCAACACCTCTCTATTTATTGCGTTAAAGCAAAGATTCTTTACTTCAGTGTGATATACAAAAAAGGATAAAATTTTGGAATAAGCAGAGAGGACTGTAAGAGATATTTAAAATTTGATTGGATTCAGTTTTTTCTAGAAATGCACTTAAAACCTATGATACTTTCTTTGCTTTCACTGAACTAAACCTCCAGAGTACCCGGTTCATCTTTCTGGGTCAGCTACTCCAATGACTGACTTTTCTCCTAATCTTTAACAAGTTTGCTGCTAAGAGTCAAGCTTGCCATGAAGGTATTTGCAAGCACAGTAAAATAATAATGACACTAAATTTGTTAAATCCAACATTTACTTAAATTGGTTAGACTTTCACATGTTCAAATTAACTTTCTCTCTCTCTCTGACAAAAGTAAGGACTGATGAAAAAGGACATTAAAACTATGCATATATTTCTGCAAATGTTTTTGGAATATTAGAGAATGGCTTGTATTACTTGTTACGTATTTTATTCCCCGAATTTCCAGCTATTTTTAAATCAAATACATTACCTGATGATTTGCTAAATTTTCTGTGAAGAAATAGGGTCATCAGCATGCCGATTGCCTTGTTATAATTACACCAGTTATGTTAAGGGAGGACGGTGTGCACGGCTTTAGCAACCCAACTTGTATCTAAGAAAATGATGAGATTTGGGCTTACAGTGTGAGCTCTTATCTGAATTTCAGTTAGCCTGAGACAGATATTTAGCCTTATTTGAAGCTTCCTACTGAATTCCCCAGAGGAATGGCAGAAAATAGAAATGAACTTTGGGAGCATGTAATAGTATGAAGGTTTAGCTGGGAATATGAACTTTTCCACTTTTGAATTCGTCAAGAAGCCAGTGACACTCCCCTGTCCACCCCCCTCTCCCATAAACTATGGCTAGTAAAGAATTCTTAATACTAAGATGTCACTAGCCGAGTTTAGTCTATTCACCTTTGGCCCACATCTACTCCCCACTTCCGATTGGAGATAACCTAGACCTGGGTCAACATCAGCTTCTTGTAAAGATGGCTTTGTGGGTAACATGACCTCTCCATGTTCTTTTCTTTGGTGGCTGGTCCTTGGATATTTCAAGGTGATAGGCTCAATTAATTATTAATAGCCGCTCTTGCTCTGTCTGTTACTTTATCTCCACTGCAAGTTCACATTCATCCTGAAGGCTAGTCAGAGCATTAACCAGGGGAAATTGATCTGGAAATTAACATCCATCCTCTCGGGAGGACATTTCCTTTCTCTCTCCCTCCTTCCTGTCTGTTTAACCCCCATTATCCATGAGAGGAAGACAATCTGTGGTAAAATGAAGAAAGTGAAACTTGGTTAGCGTATTAACACTTCAAAATTGTGAAGATGAGACGTTCTTTTGTAAATGGTCCATTTCTAGCAAAGGGAAAGATTGAAGGTCTTTCCCAGGAACACACAGTGAGAACACACTAACGCTCAGTCTCGCTGTAGTGTCTGGGTCAGTGGGCAGAACCTTTAGACTAGAAGGTTGGGGCTTGGGAGGTGAGAAAAGGGAGGAACAGAGGGAGAGATTTCTGTGTGCATTCTGTAGAGGTTGAGGTAGACGCCACAGAAAGGTAAAGTGCTTTGAACTGCTTTCTGGGGCTGGTGTGTCTTCAGGACCAGTGAGGAGTAATTGTTTACATTTCTGATATTGACCTGCACCTAGGTGTTTTTACATCCAGTGCAGGTGAAACTTGAGGTTCTAAACAAATACGGGGAGAATCTGTCTCTGGATGAAAACAGAGTCTACTGGTAAGACACATGTTTTTTGAGTTCTTAATAGTGAGCCTCATCAAATTATCATATTGAGCTTAAAAGCTCAATTATCTCTCTTTTTATATAAAAAGGATCAAGTTTGGAAACTCTGTCTTGATCCATAAGCAGATCATGGAGTAGTTAAAGAATGTAGAGCCTCACTCTGGTTTGCGAGAGGCCATTGTCCTTCCAGAGATTGTCCATTAGTCTGGGTACAAAACCATCCCTAAACCAGTGTGCCCTTAAAATACAGTTCCTGGAATCCATTCATCGGGAATGCTGCAGCTGTTTATTAAAATGCATATTCCTGGAAATACGCATTCTTCCCGGTTACTCATGCTCAGCGTATCTGCGAATCTGAAACAGCGCTGCCTGTTAGGTTTACACCCCATTTACTCGCTTCCTCGTTTCCATTTTCCATCCGTCGTTACAATCAGCCTTACATTTAAGGAGACCCTTGTGTGTCTGTGAACTCCTAGGTGATAAAAGTTGTGGTTATCATGTTTGCTCTTATATTTCTAACATCTGTTATTGTGACTGGAAGACGGAAGATTTTGATGAGTGTTTGTTGAACTGCTTGAATTCAATCAAGAAGCAATACAGTCATATAGGAGAGAAGTACCCATCAGGAGAAGCGTCTGCCTGAGATGGAGATGCGCTGTATGAGAACAGTAAGAGATAAGTCCCAAAGCCTACTAAGTCCCACTTAGCACCTACTTTCTCCCTCTGGCCTGAAAAGAGTTCATTTGAGGGGGCTCGGTGGGACAAGAATATGAAATGATTCGTTCTATTCCATTGATCACAAGGTAGCTTTCTTTTTTCCATTCTCCATTTTTCCTGCCCGTGTTTTGTGCTGTTCACAGCAGACTGCTACAACTGTAACAGACAGTGTATTTTGCCTTGGTCTTAGTCTTGCTCCCAAGGAAAAAAAAATCAGTGTCGTGTGTTTTCCCAGGGAGATGCTGTACCGGGACACTTTTCCCAAAGGACCACAGCTCTGAGTCATCCTTTCTTTATTATTATTTTTTGTTGCATTACTTTTATGACCTTTCTATCTTTGCTAATGTTAGTAAGATGCATGCCATAAAGAAACAAAGTCCTGAGGACAGGAAAGGGCAGACCGGGGCTATTTACTCTGCCCGCAGAGATTCTGCTCTTCAGGACTCTAACCAGTTCGACACTGACCCTTTGTGACAGCTTCACAACAGAGCTGTATACCACCTGTCCCTTGCAGAGTGACAAACCTCTGTCTGTTAAGAGAATGATGTTAAGTTCTTTCACCACCTAGATTTGTATTATTCTCAGCCCAACTGTTACCAGGAACGTCTAAAACCAGTCTGCTACGCTGTGTGGCTTACATGAGGACTGCTGTCTAAAGGGGAAACTGTTTGCTTCTGAACACTTCCTTTGTTTTGTTTCTTTCCAGTACAAACATTATATAATATAGTCAACCCCCCAAATGAACTTGAACATTGTCAATGAGGAGACTACTTGGGTTCTGGACTTGGCCTGGATGACACTTAATAAACTTTTATTATTTTCTTATTGGGAACCGCTACAGATCCTCATCAGAGACCATGGGAGTGACGCTATTATTAGACAAAATTGAGGCTTCTTATAAACATGGTGGAGGGTCCTCGGCCCCTTGGGAAGAATAGAATCTCCGCTCGGCTTCCAGCTGCTCAATCTTCTTTTCCTTTTCCTCTAAAACTTCTTCCAGCTGAGTGATCTTCTCAGTCTGAAGGGAAACCTGGGTGGACAATTCCATGATCAGGCTGATTTTGCGATCACCTTCTTCCACAGGTGGGAGACCTCCAGAGAACTCTTCCATCATCAGGCTGCCTTCTAAAGCAAACAAGAAAAGAAAAGTCTGAGCAGTTTTAATTGGATTTCCCAGAACTCAAAGGGAGGAAAGACAGAAAAGCTTCATTTCTCACGTTCTTAAAAGAAAGCACAGATGTTATATCATCCGGTTGGACCCTGAGAACAAAATCTGGACCCAGCAAGGGAAAGATTCTGGGTGCTCATGAAAACGGAACTTGGAAGTCTCTTGAGAGTAAGGAGAATCAACCCTTGCCAACTCTCTTGTATACACATTTAACTTTCAATTAACCATGGGAATGAGCTGTCCTTGAAAATCCAATCTACAAACAACAGCCACCTCAAGTCTCACGTTATTCTTTTCTCTAAGAATCTTTTACAAGAGCTGCAATCAAGTAGAATTATGCTTCAATTTGAATTTTAATATAACTAAAAAAAAAAACAACATAGATTATCATTGGCCTTTCTGGTGAAAGTGATAATGAGAGAAGACTAGTTTCTTAACCCAAGTCAGCTTTAAAAGTGGCAGGGTTGTGATTTGAAGTGATCCGGGAGAGCTCTATTAGCATGGTATCATCCATAGAGAGTCATTTCTTTTAGGCCTGTAGGCTTTTTAGCATTTCTTAATAAAATCATAAATACTTCATGGACATGAAAACACTAACAATTCATTCCTTCTTTCCTTCCTTCCTTCCTTCCCTCCCTGCCCACCCACCTTTCCTTCTTTCCTTCGAGACAGTGTCTCACTCTGTCACTTTGGTTAGAGTGTGGTGTGTCACAGCTCACAGCAACCTCAAACTCTTGGGCTCAAGCGATCCTCTTACCTTAGCCTCCTGAGTAACTGGGACTATAGGGGCCACAACATCCACATAGTTTTTCTATTTTTAGTAGAGACAGGGTCTCACTCTTGCTCAGGTTGGTCTCAAACTCCTGAGGTCAGGTGATCCACCTGCCTTGGCCTCCCAGAGTGCTAGGATTATAGGTGTGGGCCACTGTACCCGGCCATCATTATTAATTTCTATCAGCTAACCTCTCAAATAAGGATAAAGGCCTGAGTAAGGAGGAAGAGAAGGGTCTAACAAAGAGATAAAAGATAGTGACTGGCAGTCAGAGTCCTTAAAAACAAACCTCACTAGTCCATCAAAAAATTGGGCTCCTTAAGGCAAACCCCATCTTACTAGCCTTTAGCAATACCATCCTCCCTGGCACTTTTGAAATTTCCACCATCGCATTTCTCAGAGGTATATATGAATAAAAGGCAGACTTAGGTATAAATAAATAGTAAGGGATGTCTAGGGCTTGGATATCATTTCAGGAATAATGGCACTGATAGTGGATGAAGGAACCTGATATGTGGTCTCCACAGTTGTATGCAATTGCCAGTGAAAACAAATTCCA